TTCTGAATCCATTTCCAGGGTTATTTTTATCATCTGAGACCTCCTACTGAATTTTTCCTTCCTAGGGTTACGTGTTTGGCTAATTACCTTTTTACCCTTCTTTTGTATTTTGGCTTAATTTGCAGGATTTTCACTAATCCTTCCCTTTAATCCATATTTAATTTATTAATATATAATTTAGAAATGCGAGGTGTTATATTCACCCCTCCTTTTTGAAAAATTTTCCGCAAAATTAGCATCATACCGGTCCACTGACTCGGGATATAGCAAGAGAATCTCGTCCTTCCACTCTCAAGTAGTCTCCTTAGTTGTGCATCTTTATCATTTTACTTTCGTCACAGGAATAACCTCATTTTTGTGGTATCCATCGTTCCTCAATCCTTCACAAACACTTGACAATTTCATGATATGACCTCTTAATTCATTATATTTTCAATTTTTCTATAGGCTACAGTTGCATTTTCCCTAATTTGTAGGTAATAATGTAACCATATTACAAATTTGTCTATCTAACTTCACCTCATTTTTATCTTTATCTACCTTTCTGACCCAAGGTCGTTCCCAAAAGCCTCTAACCATTTTCATAATAGACTCTAATCGTTCTCATATACATTTACAAATTATTCCTGAAATATTTCCAACTCACACTTTCTTCAGTATTTCAATCTTTTTGTTGTCCCTCTTGTTTCAACAATACCCCAATATACCAGTCATTTCCATTAATATTACTAATCTTACCATTTTGTTGTTGCCTTGGCTTTCACACGAGCACATACCTTCTAGTCTCAATGGCACTCTATAGTACCCTGTAAGAACCTGCACCGTTAATTAAGGAAGTTAATTAAGTAATTATGAGAAATTAGGAAATAATTCCATAATTGACCCTAATAATTATTATGAGGCTTAAATAAATATGGTAAGTGATTAATAATGCTGAAAGTCGCTTTTCTGATGAAAAGTGCAGATACCGGTTCTGCTACTCAGTATAAATGTGTACCGATAAAGTATCCCGAAAAATTATAATAAGTGTGGGAATATTCTTAGAATAATATGTAGGACTTGTAAAACAAGTTTCAGGTCAAAATAATGAGAACTGGTGCCGGAACTGATACTGGCTATGTAAAAGCGCGTACCAGAAAGGTGCTGCGAAAATAAAAAAAAAATGACAATTCCTAGAAAAATGGCTAGGTTCAGAATCCCAAGTTTGAGATTAAAATACTAAGCGTAGCTATTAGTGCTAATATAGTGGGATTAGTTTAATGAGCCTATAAATTCTAAAAGCACAAAACCCTAGGCAGATTTTGGGAACACTACATAGGTGCATTTTGGCTGCCACCCTTTCTCTCTTCACAACTCCATAGTTTTGCCTTCAAGAAACATCAAACACACCATTGACCACCTAGAGGCACTCTTGATGGAAAATAAATCAAACTTGAAGACCATTTTCGTGGGTGAGGTTGGGCAGTAGTTGATGGTAGCATCAAAGTCTCCAAAGATCCTTCTTTTTCTGTATTAGAAGCTTTGGGTATAACTCTCAACCCTTCCTCTTGAATTTTGTTAAAAAGATTGAGGTTTGAACTTGTTTAATGAGTAAAAATAATAACTTAGTGGACTACTAGATAGAACATACATTAAAAGGGTAACTTGAACATCTATGAACCTTAAAAATGATAAATTGTGGTTTTGGTTTGCGAAAATTGGCATTTTTGGTCAAAATCTGGGTTCTGCTGATGTTATACCCGGGTAGATCTTCAACCCTACTCGGGTAGATGTTCTTCAGCAACTTACCCGGGTACATACCCTGGTACCCAAGTACAGGAATCGGCAGTGAACATAGTTTGCTAAAAATTCAATATCTCGAGCTACAGAGCTCCAAATTGGGTTTCGTATTAACCTATGTGTAGCTAACACATAGAGCTACAACCCTGTAAAATTTAGTAGTCATTGGATAAGTGTTTTGATCTCAGTGTTAGTTTTAATTCGCGACTTGGTTGCTGGAAATTTAACTTGCAACACTCACATTGCGAAAATCATAACCGGAGTTATACAACTCTGATTGAGACATAAAATATGTCATTGGAAAGCTTGAGATGCCTAGTTTAACATATTAAAATTTCAGAATATTTGGTAAAGATTTACAACATCAGTTTTAAAAATGGTAAAGACAGTTTATACTTGGGGGCTTTGGGAGAAGCATGCAGTACGTTAAACGAAAAAGAAAGTGTAGTCTAAATGTCATGAAATTGTAGAATCTGTTTATTAATGATATTTTGTACATAAAACAGATTGTATCTATCGGACTGTGTGACTGTTGGTGTGTCTGTTTATACCGAGCCTTTGGATAAGGATTTTGGCACTACAGGTAAGCTTTCGTGTCCTCGGTTTAGCCATTGTTGGTTCCACCATGTCCCATGGGGGATGGTTATATGCATGATGTGTTTTCATGTACTATTTTTTTGAAATACTATTGAGCTGTTATGTGAAATTGCTTATGATATGTATGTGGTGTTACGCCTATATAGGAGGCCATGGGGTGGTCCTGTAGGCGGGTACAACATAGGCTGGTACTGTGTGGGTATTAGACGTATTCCTGCACTTCTCTGATCAGTAGAATTGTTAGAACACACATGACATGATTATCTGCTGCATTGCACTATTTTGGAACTTATTCTATTATCTGCTTTTGAACTTATATTACACATGTAAGTGAGCTTGGGGTGGAAGATCCTTGAGGACCCCTTGTCTTACTGAGATTTCTGTTTAGAGATCTCACCCCCACGTTTGGGGCACTATTTCAGGTTCAGGTAATGCTGGGGTTGAGACCTCTGGTGGCAGGAGGCTAGAGCTTAGTTGATTGATATATGTTGTACGCTGACATGACTGGTTATTGGATGTTGTTTATGTTTACAGTCTTTATGATTATTGATGTTGAGACCCTTGTTGGGCTTTGTTGCCTTATTTTGGTGAGCATAGGGATTGTCCATGCCACGTTGACTTGACTTTGCTATTTTAGACTTGGGTTGTATTAATGTATGAAGATTATGGTCCGGACTACATGTTGTAGTTCCGTGATTTAGATACACACAATTAATCTATTTTATGATGTATTTCAGTTAATTGTCCTTGCAATTTACAGACAGACGATGTTTTTATGAAAATGGTTAAGTAATTCAACTTTGCTAAGTTAATGATGTCATAATTGAAAAGAAAAAGTTATTCCGCATATTTTATTAAGCGTGGCTTAATACGATGACATGTTAACAAACCGGGTATACACGGGGTGTTACATTTTATGGTATCAGAGCACTTTCTATGGAAAAGCCATTATGTATTGCAATAACTTAGGGTGTTTTGTTGCGAGTCTGTCTTGTGTGTTTCCTCTGATGGGTTTTGCTATGATGATACATGTGTGATCACACTGTGTGGGCCTGATCAATTCATTCTTTGTGTAACTTGTGCAGAGTCATGGTAATGCCTAGGAGAAACTGTGAGACCACTGAGGATCAGCCGGATCTGGTCCTGACTGCATTAGCAGAGATGCAGGCGGCTAAATTAGCCGATCAGGAGGCCACTAGATTGGCCAACCTGGCGATGATGGACACCTTTCGAGAGGCGAACCGGAGAGCCATCGAAGATGTGTTGGAGGCAAACCGACTGGCGTATATGACCATGGTACGAGTTGTATTAGAGGAGATGAGAATTGGTTGTCATGACGGCCAACATCCTCCGGTGCCACCACCTCCGTCCCTGCACCAGTGTGGGAGTGGAGCTAGAGGGATGCTAGTTGGGAATGTATTCTCATTGTTTGAGTGCATCCCGTGTGGAAAGACTCGTAAGGGTACTTGTGAGCAAGAAAAAAAGTATGTTTAAGATGTGGCCAGCCAGGTCACCTTATCAAAAGATGCTCGTCCAAGGCGGAGCGAGCTGCAGGAATACAGAATGTCTCAGTATGTCGCATAGAAAGGATAACTGGATCGACATCTAAGGACTCCGAGAAGATTCGTGTGAACCAGGAGACAAAGAAAGTCAAAAAAACCAGAGGCTAAGGGAAATAGTGGTTCCACTTCCTGGAGGGACAAAAAGCTTCTAAACCCCCATCTTCTCCCCATTTACCCTTATGTTTTCTTTCTTATTTGTAAGTCTATTTGCAGGATCATACTCTTCTCCAACATGAAGATACTAGAATAATAATAATGCAAGCTATTTACTTGAATCACACAAAGGTAGATTCCAAAAAAGATTTCGACCACAAATGGAAGCACAACAAGCTGATATATGGGACTGAGAGACGTAGACTCAAAGGCATTAAATGATGTTATCATCAGGGGGAGTAAAATATGTGTTACACTCTTTTTTCCTTCAACAAGATTTTGTCCTATTGGATTTTCCTGATAAGGTTTTTAATGAGGCAGCTTGCGATACATATTATTATAAGTGTATACTCTTTTTCCTTCACTAGGATTTTGTTTTTAATGAGGCAACTTGCGATACATATTATTATAAGTGTATACTCTTTTTCCTTCACTATTATTATTTTAATGGACATCCAAGGAGGAGTGTTATAAAATATAACTATATGGATGTCCATAACCCCCAAAAGAATGATGTATAGCTCTTGTAACTCCCATGAGTTATAATATGTAATTAGGAGGATTTAACATTGTCATTTATTCTTGTAACTTATTATAGTAAAGGTTCTATTAATAGAGACCATGTACATATCTTGCATATTGACAATACAATACAATGAAAGAATCTTTCTTTCTCGTTGTCCTAATTCTCTATTTTTCCTTTTATGTTCTTGTTACCCTTTATTTTACAATAGCTTTCTTATTTTTGTCAAATTATTACAATACCATAAGAGGATGCAAATTATTCTTTTAATAGGGCAAGGGATTCTCGTGTGCATACAATTCCTTCAAGCCCAACAATAACAAGCCATCCGTTGTGCAATCACAACTCAACGAGCATTAAGAGCCAAGAGCAAACAAAACCCTCAAGCCAAATCTCTTTCAATAGCATCCTTTTAGTAAAAGTATACAAAATGGCATACGATCGCCAATACCAGCTATAGAGACGGGCATCAACATTTCACAAACTAGAATAAGAATCTAGAAGTTCCTCGCCAATATTCTTTAAAACAAAACATAGGTGCCATAACTCCAAAGGAAACTATTTCAAATATTATTAAAGATGGTTTTAATATGAAAATAAGTAAATCTAGTCTTTCATGAGTCTTCTTCTTCCACATCAGAATGCATCATCATTGAAAACAAAGCTGCCTCCATAGGATTCAATTCTTCATTTTCAAAATCTTCAGGGCCAAAATCATCCACACCAGAATCCAGTGCCTCGGACAAAGCAGCTATCTGAAAAATATCCAAGTCCTCATCATCAGAATCAAAAGGACCAAAACAAGGACCTGATCCACTAGCCAGCGTATCTGATATAGTCATAATCTCCAATGGATCCATATCATCAAAAAACTCTGAGTCCCGCATAATGGAATAAAATTCTCCAGTCGATAAATCAAAATCACTGAGCATATCCAACATGTCATACATATCAAAATTGTTTGGCCTACGTTGTGGAGGTGGCCTGTCATGTATCCACATGTATGAGCCAGGCTTCACTGTATGCTGAAAGTAACAGATATCAAAGTCATTAAAGGAGTAACAAACCTAAACCATCCAAAATTAAATAAAAAAATGGTCAAGGACCAAAATACAAATTGACATGTATCCGAAATGTGAGTAGTCTCTTCTACTAATTTTAGATATTTTATAGCTTTAGTTCAAACTTATGGACATAGACACTGATGCTTAATTTATTTTCTATTTTTAATTTCATGTTTTGAAAAAATTACCCACTCTGGCTGATTGACCATTTTGCCCTCCTTTTAATTTTTTATCACTTTATCCCCTTTCCCAAACTATATACCAATATGCTTCTCTTTTCACAACTCTCTTGCATTTTATCATTTATTACACGTTTCCCTTCAAGTTCCAAATAATGGTGCTGATTATGTGATTTGACCTCCACCAAACCTTAAAATTCTAAAATCATGGGAACGAATGGAATCAAACAAAACAAACCATCATCCTGATCTGGTTCGGCTCCAAATCATATTCATTACTTCTACAATTCCTACCAATACTCTATTAATTATAATACAAAGAACAACAATACATGACAAAAAATGTAGCATAAAGTGTTGAAATTTCAGAGTAGGGTACAGAGGAAGGAAAACGAATAAAACTATATTGGTTTTGTTATGAAGGAAGCGATGTGATATGATATGCTCGGGCGATGTTGTACAAAGTAGTAATCCCTATTTATACTAAATACTAATATTAGAGTCTAAATCCTAATTAAATAAGGAAACAAATTATGAAATATAAAGAAATAAAAAAACTACTCTTAAGAGATCAATCATGATAATCTAAATTATTCTAATATACAATCAAGATATTTTGAGATATTTTTCATATATTCTAACACAAAATGTATTATGTAGTTCATAAGGGGTAGTACCTAATAGTCTAATACATAATTACAAACGGTTATGCATGTTAGAAACAATATGATAGGGATTAAACTAATGGTCTAGGGAAGGAGATTTTATTGATAAAAATTAATTACAGAATTAGAATAAGAAAAACGATAAGAGTAACATGCTTCCTTGCTTTGGAGACCCCTTCTCCAAGCCCCAGCCTTAGGCCGAGGACAGACCCCCTTAACAAGGTTCATCCTACTTAAATACTAGATGCAAGGACAAATTCAAAAATAAGATATCTTACAATAACTAATTTTCTAAGATAACAACCTAATCCATACTCAAAAACAAGATATCCTACGATAACTAACTTCCTAAGATAACAACCTAATCCCTACTATCTCTCTCCCCCAATTGCAAACTGGATAACTGCTGCAATTGTTTTAGATCCATCACAATAACACTAGCATTGCCGTGGAAACACAAATCACTTGGTTTGCTCAAAGGCAAAAGATTTTAATATTATACCATTAACCAAACCAACCTTCTCAAAACCTCAAATTTTAAAAACCAAATTTAACCATCTGAACTTCTGGAACTGAGCCAACCAAACCACTAATCGTGATCCACTTTGGTTTGGTTTCAAAACCATTGGTACATTGCTTTTTCAATTTCTACCAATGCTTTACTAATTAAAGTAACACAATACACATTACATGAAATATAGTAATTAGAAATAACAAAGTTCATATCATAGTACCTAATATATAGTTACAAGTGCTCAAGCAAGTTAATGAAAATAACAGTAGCACTACAGCAACACAAAAATACCACTTGTATTGCTGCACGCTAAAAGATTTTAATTTTTTTATTTATAATAACAAATATTTTCATGGTTTGGTTCAGAAACTTGTTCGCACAATTTTTTATTTTGTATAATTTGATTTGGTTTCATCAGTTTGGTTTAGTTCTTCAAGCACTTGTAGGTAGAAATTTACAAAACCTACACAAACCTCACTTAGAACCCTACCCCATTATCCCATGACATTATATATAATTTTTCACATAAAGGGATGTTTATCACAAGTTTTTCAAAATCAAGATCCTGCCTAGGATTGGAAAAAACTATGGGGTTAAATTGAAAATGCATAAAAAGGTCACATTGAAAACGTAACAACATAATCTAAAGTTGCAAGTTAACAACTCCAAATATAAAAGACACAACATTTTGAGAGATTGACAGATAAAGAAGAACAGCAAAACAGCAAGTGAGAGGTTGACTACAAACTTGAATTTTAGAACAGAGAATGAGAGGACCACTCACCCTGCAACAGAGAACAACAAAAAGTAGAGGCTTGGGTCTCGGATGTGAGATACAAGGAAGAACAGGGAGGGATTGATGGCCTGAGATAGGACATTTTGAGATTGTGAGAGTTCAGTCAAGTGAGAGAGGACGAATGCAAGCCCCCAAAAGGGGCAAAAGAAACAAATTTCCTAGACTAATAACAAAAGAAAAGTTGTGATAGTAGAAATAATAGAAGAGACATACACATTTAATAAATATTCAACAAGTGAAATGTGAAGGAAGGGGAGAGCAATTTATTGCTAAAAGAATTCATCATCAACACCACCTTTATCTCAAACTAGTTAGAATCAGTGGCAGATGAATCCAAATTAAAAAGTACAAAAAGATTGAGGAAAAAAAAAGAGGATAAAAAAATGAAAAAAAAAAAATATATATATATATATATATATATATATATATATATATATATATGGGGAGGGTTCTTTTGACTCCAGAGTAAGATTCAAAAGACTTACTCCCCATCTCAGCGGTTGATGACGGCAATCAACGGTTGTCATTTATAGAGTAATTAATAATTAATTAATTAGTATAACTTCTTAAACTATAACCATTAGATGAGCGGAAATCAACGGTTAAGATGGAGAGTAAGACTTGTAATTCTTACTCTGGAGTCAAAATATCTCTCTCCTATATATATATATATATATATGGGAAAAACATTTCTCCGGCAACTTGAGATAAATATCTCTGACCACTCCAAAACTATGTCGTTTTGTTTATTTATTTTCTTATATTAATTGATTCACCTTTGAATGGTTATGATTCTCTTTTTCTCTCTCTTACTTTATTATCATTGATCCATCTTTGTACGGTTATGATTTAGTTGCCGGAAATAAAATTATCTCAAGCAGCTTGAGAAACGATAAGCCCTATATATATAAATATATATATATATATCATAGTAGTTAATTGTGCCGCAATAGTGTCGCGAGCCGCGCCGTACCGGCGTTGCGGTGCCTCACCGCAAGAAACCGCACCGCGCTGCACCGAAACGCAATAGCGGCCATTGCGATCGCCTTCCGCAAATCACCATCTTTAAAAAACCAACCCTATTTGCCTCTCGCCGCCACAAAGCCGCCGCCGGAAAAAAAAAAATTCTGAGACCTTTTGGACCGTGAGGACCCCTGCTTCACTCCGTTTTCTTAGATCTATCATTCTACGGAGGTTTCTTTTTCATCAGACGACCAGAACAGCTCAAAAAAAAAATAAAAAAATACGCGGTACTGTTCATCGAGCACTGTTCACGCGATACTGTTCATCGCGCACTGTTCACGTGGTACTGTTCATCGGGTACTGTTCACAAAAAAAAAAATTCCTGCTTGTTTTTTGTCTCCTCTCCATGGATCAGCTTAAACCCGATATTGATAATATGTGTAAGCCATATGACCGTTCTTTGATCTTATCTTGTAAGAACACACGTTCTACATCTCTTCTTGCTTCTTGCACTGATTTTAAAACCTCATGGATTTTGGATTCTGGTGCAATTGATCATATGGCTTGTCGTACTGAGTTGTTTTGTTCTTATCATCCTACTGTTGGTAGTCATACTATATCCGTAGCTGATGGATCCCATAAATCAGTTATTGGTTCTGGTAACATTCAAATTCAACCTTCCTTGTTTCTTAAGAATGTTCTTTATGTTCCTCAGCTTTCTACTAATCTTATCTCCACTCAAAAACTTACAACTGATTTGAATTGTTCTATCACATTTTTTCCTTCTCATTGTGTTATTCAGGATCTTACCACGAAGAAGACAATTGGAGTTGCTAATGAACAGAATGAGTTGTATCATCTCCTTCCAAAACATGCTATAAATGATAGCAAAAATCAGTTATTAATGACACGTCATCCTTCTACTGCAGAGTCTATGATTTGGCTCCATCACAAGCGTCTGGGACATCCACCATTTAGTCTATTGAAGTCTATGTTCCCTTCTCTGTTTCTCAATCAGTCGGTTGAGACCTTTCATTGTGATGTTTGTGAATTTGCAAAACACCATAGAGTGTCATTTCCTTCTAGCACTATTAAAAGCAGCCAACCTTTTTCTCTTATCCATTCTGATGTTTGGGGCCCTTCTAAAGTGCATAGTGTTTCAGGTGCAAGGTGGTTTGTTTCTTTTATTGACGATTGTACTCGAGTAACATGGATATACTTGATGAAAGACAAGTTTGAAGTACCAGAGATATTTATTCGGTTTCATCACATGGTTGAGACTCAGTTTGGTAAGTGTATTAAGAGACTAAGATCTGATAATGGTACTGAGTACGTCAACCAACGCCTGTCACAATTCATTTCAGACAGAGGTATGATTCATGAGCTCACATGTGTTGATACCCCTCAACAAAACGGGGTTGCTGAAAGGAAAAATCGTCACCTCCTTGAAGTTGCTAGAGCACTACTTTTCCAGACATCTGTTCCTAGTTCTTATTGGGGAGAAGCCGTGTTAGCTGCAACCTTTTTGATCAACCGTTTACCTTCACGGGTCCTTAACAATATCAGTCCTATTCATTCCATGACTTCCTTCTTTCCTTCTGTTCCCATATTGCAGAGCCTTCCACCAAGAGTGTGTGGATGTGTTGCCTTTGTTTATGTTCATAAACAACATCGGAGTAAGTTGGATATTAGGGCTCTTAAGTGTGTCTTCCTTGGTTATACCCCTTATAAAAAAGGGTACAAGTGTTATCATCCACCAAGTCGAAATTTTTTTGTTTCTATGGATGTCACCTTTCAAGTATCTGAATCTTATTTCCTGGGTCTTCATCTTCAAGGGGAGAGAAGTTCTTCAGAAGACTCATCCCCTTCCTTCTTCGAGTCTGGATCGTCCTTGTCTACTCCTACACCTTTTCCTAGTGTGTCTGCTCCTGGTGTGTCAGGACCTTCAAATACACCTGAGATACGAAAGATTTTGACACCTGAATTGGTATATCAGAGGAGGAAACAACTCATACTGTCTCACCAGCAACCTCAATCGTCTGAACCACTGGTAAGTCCTGAATTTCCTGTTTCTGATTCTAATATTATTGCCTCTCATGATTTGCCTATTTCTTCTGATACCTCTGATGACTTACCCATTGCTTCTGCTTCTGATAACTTACCTATTGCCCTAAGAAAAGGGAAAAGATCTTGTACTCAATATCCTATCTCCCATTTTGTTTCTTCTACTAATCTTTCTGTGCAGCACAAAAGCTTTGTTTCAGCACTAGATTCTGTTTCAATCCCAAAATCAGTACATGAAGCATTGAAAGATGAGAATTGGGCTCAAGCCATGCAAGCGGAAATGAATGCATTGGAGAAAAATAAAACATGGAAGGTTATTGATAGACCCAATGGAAAGAAAGCAGTAGGGTGCAGATGGGTTTATGCCCTAAAGTATAATTCTGATAGCACTCTTGAGAGATATAAGGCTCGATTAGTCGCCAAGGATTACACTCAGACCTATGGCATTGATTATGAAGAAACCTTTGCTCCAGTTGCAAAGATGAATACGGTGAGAGTCTTGTTATCCCTTGTTGTTCATTACAATTGGGATATAAATCAATTTGATGTGAAGAATGCTTTCCTTAATGGTGAGTTAGAAGAAGTCTACATGGAAATCCCTCCTGGTTTTGATTCTGTGAATGGAGAAAATAAAGTTTGTAGATTAAAAAAGGCCTTGTATGGATTGAAGCAGTCACCTCGTGCCTGGTTTGGAAGATTTACTAAGGTTATGATGACTTTAGGATACAAAGTCAAGGAGATCACACTCTTTTCTTTAAGCACTCCCAAGATGGGAAGCTCACTGTGCTCCTTGTATATGTTGATGATATTATTATCACAGGTGATGATTTTGTGAAGAGACATATTCTGCAAACAAGACTAGCATCTGAGTTTGAAATTAAAGACCTTGGGAAACTGAGATATTTCCTAGGAATAGAAGTAGCTCATTCAAAAAAAGAAATTTTTATCAGCCAGAGGAAATATGTTCTTGATCTTCTCAAAGAAGCAGGAAAGCTTGGGTATAAACCCTCTAATACTCCTATTGAGCAGAATCACAAGATAGGCTATGAAGAGGAGAGTCCTCCAGTTGATAAAGGACAATATCAACAGCTAGTTGGGAAAGTGATATATGGCTCATACTAGACCAGACTTAACTTATGTTGTTAGTGTTGGCAGTCAATTTATGCACAATCCAAAGGAGAAACACATGCAGACAGTGGAGAGAATTCTTCAGTATCTTAAAGCTACTCCTGGTAAAGGATTATTATTCCGGCGTGATGGCCATCTCTCTTTAGAAGTCTACACTGATGCTGATTATGCTGGATCTGTGACTGACCGTCGTTCTACCACTGGTTATTGTATGTTTCTTTGTGGTAACTTGGTGACATGGAGAAGTAAGAAACAAGATATGGTTCCCAGATCAAGTGCAAAAGCTGAATTTCGAGCTATGGCTCAAGGCATTTGTGAGTTACTGTGGCTAAAAATTGTACTTGATGACCTCAAAATAAAATGTGAGGGACCTATGAAGCTGCTATGTGATAATAAGTCCGCTATTTGTATAGCTCATAATCCAGTTCAACATGATCGGACTAAACATATTGAGGTCGACCGCCATTTCATCAAAGAGAAACTTGATAGCGGGTTGATTACCACTCCATACATTCCCACTGGGCGTCAATTAGCTGATGTATTGACAAAGGGACTTTCTTCAGACAGATTTCAAGAGCTTACTAGCAAGCTGGGAATGATAAATATCTATTCCTCAGCTTGAGGGGGAGTGTTGTAAATAATAATTATTTAGTTATTATTTAGTCATTTATTTGTTGTATTGGGCCAAGCCCATTAAGTCAAAATTAGGTCAAGTATTCTCTATAAATAGAGAACCCTTTGTACAGATTATTTACAATTCTATAATATATCAAAATACCTTTTTCAAGTGCTTTATAGCGTTTTTCGGGGTTGGCTGCAACATGCCGCAATCCGCATTTAATAACTTTGATATATATATATATTTATATGGGAAAAACTACTCTCATGTTATTGGAGAGTAGTTCTCTTTCCTACAGACCCATTGATTTCTGTGTTGCTCTCTTTTTTTTATAAGTGAGTGGGCCCCACCACATGGTTGTGTCTATGGTAGGAGAGAAGACGTCTCATGTAACATGAGATTATTAAAGCCTATATATATAGGGATAAATATTTCTGCAGCCACTTTAGATAAGCTTATCTACAGCTACCATTTATAACTATGTTCTCCCGGGAGAACATAGTTATAACGCAAAAGTTGCTTTTTTCTCTCTCTCCACGTTAACAGACAGGTTCTGAAAAGTAAATGAGGAGAGAGAAAAAAAGCAACTTTTAATATTATAACTATGTTCTCCCGGGAGAACATAGTTATAAACGGTAGCTGTAGATAAGCTTATCTAAAGTGGCTGTAGAAATACTTTTGTCATATATATATATATATATATATATATATATATATATATATATATATATATTATATATGAAATTAGAAATTAAAAAAGCAATAAAAAATGAAAAAAAAAAATCAACATCATCGTCAACAGCCCTATTTCTTTCTTTACCTCTCATTTTTTTCTTCACTTCTTTTCTTTCTTTTCTATTTTTTCCTCTTTATTTCTTGTTTTCTTGTTTATCTTTATTTTCACTTTATTTTATTGTATTTTTCTTTTTAATTTTTAAACAATTAAAAAATAATAATAACAAAGTGAAAATAAAGATAAACAAGAAAACAAAAAATAGAAAAGAAGTGAAGAAAGAAATAGAGGGAGATATAGGGGAAAAAACTAAAAAGGGGGCCATATAGAAAATAGGAAGAAAAACGGGTCTAACCCTCCATAATGTTAAATTGCTAATTGTTTTCCTCTAATCCGTCTCGAGACACATTGTTAGCCAATCAAAAAATTATGTTACTAAAATTTGTCAACAACCATGATAATCAACCTTGCCCAAACAAAATATAAAACAAAGCAACAAACACAAAAGAGATAACTTGAGTACCTTGTAGAAACAAGTAGTCCCAAATGGACAGTTCCCATTTCCAAAGTTAAAATGCTTGCAATCAATCAACCTGAAAAAAAAAAAAGACAATAGGAAAGTTCAAAATTAAAATATCAAAACTTTTAAGCTCTTACTAATACAAATTGAGTCAGCTCTCTTTAATAAACAGATTATCTCCTATTTAACTGAAATCAGCATAAAGTGCCCTCCTCAACAGGAACGTGTGAAGAGCGAACACATCTACACATCCAATAAATATATATTGGGCTACAGTGTGTGCATGCATTTGATATTTAAAAACATATTGGAGGTCAAAAGCCTTTCAAAGTGTATACTCAAAGGCCGACTGAGATGGCGGGTGGATAATATATTAGATACGCAGTTATGATTAGGATATTGTGTAGATAAATAACCACAAGGGCGGTTATACAATAATAATGATTAGGATATTATGTAAATAAATAACCACAAGGGTTGTTATGGTATGGTGTAAGGTGGTTACTATGTCATGCAGACATTTTATTACAAAATCAAAGTTATGGGAAATTATTGATTGCAATAAGGAGACAAGTCTTACATGGGGAAGAGTTAGTTATGAAGAGTTAGTCACTCCTTGAAGAGGAAAGCTTCTTGTACTCTTGTAATCCAATAATATTTTATGCTTAATACTAAACAAATTTACCTACGTAAATTACTTTTTCTGTAATTAATTCTATGAGGAATCCAAGGTTGTAACAATTTCGCTCCGACCTGCTGGATCCAAAAGAATGGATTCTTTGGAAGGGAGAGTTGAAGCACCAAAAAAAGCAATTGATTCTTTGAGGGAAACCAGCGAAGATAGTAGAAGATTAGGGTTGTATGGGAGACAATTGGAGGGAATTGAGGAGATACATATTGTGTTGAAGGGAAGGGATGTCCAAAAAGGCTGAGGAGGAATCTTCTCAAGGTAAACCAAATGAAAATGCAAATGTGGTGTTGTCTTCCCATGATAGCAAATCAAAATGAGGGTGATGGTTCTACTACAGAAGTGATCGAAGGATGTTCTTGGACCAAGAAGGTGGAGATGCCAATTTTTTATGGAGAAGACCCATAAAGATGGATCTCTCAAGCAATTTTTTTTTGAAATACAGGAGATTCCCACCTCCAGGAGAGTGAAACTCAAATTTGTGAGTATGGAGGGGAACTCACCACATTGGTTCTGTTTTCTATTTAAACAGAAACACCAATTACAATGGGATGATCTCACAAAGTAAATGGTGCAAAAGGTTTGGGGATCGATCTCAAGGTAGTAACAAGCTTGGCATATATGCTTTATATGCTCCAACTTGAAGAGGAGTGCTAAGATTGTTGTAAATAGAATAGTTTAGTGTAAGGGACAAAGTACCCCATCATGCATTATTCCTGTGTAACTCCTCTTATTCATTAATATATTAGTGCATCCATTGTGTATCTTTATCACAATGATTACATCATATGTTTCTAGTTTCATTCCCGTTCAAAATTAATATACTAGATAGGAGGATATGATTAGGATATTATGTAAATAGATAACCACAAGGTGTAGTTATTGTATGGTGTAGGGTGGTTATTGTGTCATGTAAGCAATTTATTACAAAATCAGTTCTGCCTCAGCAGTTATGGGCAGTTACTGAATGCAATAAGGAGACAAGTTTTCCATAAGAGCTAGTCAGTAAGTTATGAAGAAACAAGGTTGAGAATAGATTCTCGAAGAAGTGTTACTCCTTGAAGAGGAAAGCCTCGTGTACTCTTGTCATCCATAAAATTGCCTGCTTAATAATACTAAACAGATTTCCTTATGTGCATTTTACTTTTTTGTGTGATAATTCTGTGAGGAATCCAAGGCTGTAATTGTTTGTGTGTGAATATTGTGTGAGACAGCAAGGGGGAGTGGGGTTATAGGATGCAGGAATGGAGGAAGGAGAGAATATTTTTCCAACCAGTCACCTCTAAAACACCTATTATCAATCAATCATAACTGAACAAAAACCCAAAATTACTAGTCACCATGTAACAAATCAATTTCAGTCAAGTTAGAAGAAGGTAAGTAGATAAAAAATTACTTGCAATTTGCCTTGTAGTTGTCAGTAATTTCCTGTTTTTCTTCCTTTGTAGAATACCAAATACCACTTGGAATCACAAAATACGATAGTTTGCGGCAAACAGGGCAGGTTCTCACTGTACTAGCATTATTATTGACGTCCATTCCAGCGGTTGGGGCACTATTACGCCAATTGCGGATGCAGGATAAACAGAAGGCATGATCGCATTCCGGAAGCAGCCCAAACTTACATTCAGATGGTTTAGGTTTGGAAAGAACACGCTCCAGACAAACATTGCATTCTATTTCTTGACTATCTTTCAAAGCCTGAAGGTATTTTTCCTTTTTCTCACAAGTCCTCAAATGATTTTCTTTTTCCTTTCGATCAGTAGGATGCAAGCAGTATTTTCTACAGTATAAACATTGATTTCCATGAACACGAGAACATTTATCTCCTAAGGGACACTTAGCAGCAGCAAAAGCGCAAAATAAATGTTTAGATGGTATATTGCTACTAGTACTGGATTCACCAACACCACCATTCCCCGAAGAGTCCTGATGCTTATTTTGTAAACTCCTTGCACGCTTGTCAGATGAAGACAACTTTGTAGCCTTTGGAACCCAACTAGATGTTCCTTTAATAATAGGAGCCACAACAGAATCTGAAACCAGAGATTGGCGTCCATTTGATGAAGATGATGCCAAAGATGAATCTTGAGAAGCTTTGATATGCTTATATCTGCATCGACTACCATAAGCACATAATCCTTTTTTATAATACGTGCAAATCTGTTTTCCCGATAAGAAACAAAAGTAAAAAATAAAAATAAATAGATTCATTGCTCATTAAATAATGTATGAAAATCAGAATTAGAGTTACATCAACTGGAGTATCCTTTCTCTCATGAGAAAAATCACATTGGTCCCCTTTCAGACATGCTCCACGGGCATAGAACTTGCAAACCCTAAGAGAATTCATAGATTTAAAGTAAATAAATAAATTCCAAAAGCAAGAAATCAGAGAGTCTGAAAAAAAAAATTCAATGGAAGAACAACAAAAATTGAGACTACGTCGTACACATCAAAACCCTCATGTTTACAAGCATTTAAGCTTTCTCACACATACAAAATTTCTGAGTCACTTCAAACGAATCATTAGCATTAACAAAATAATCTGAACCTAAGTTCAAAATTCAAATTTTATATATTAATTAGACACCAACAATCCCGCTTCCACTCCCACCATAACAGAAAAAGGAATTGATAACATTAAGTTTTGAATCAATTTATAATTAGTACCATGTTCAATCTGAACCTAAGAAGAGGCCTAAGAACATGACTGCTAAGAGTCCTCGTATGGGTTATTGAACACCAAGAGTAGCAAATATTATATATGCCCAAGCAAATCCATGTCACAATCATCACCAATTTACAATTTTCTCACTGTACCAAAAACAATGGCTCACAACAAAAACATTCTCGTTATTTTTTCCTTTTCTTCGCGAAGTCTATGCGAATCAAAAACAAAAAAGGAAAAAGGAAAAAACGAAATAGCCATATAGAAACGAAGAACTAGGAGATGAGATCGATCAAAAGCGAAAATTAATGGAACGGAAAAGATAATGGTTTGAGAATTACCTGTTGGACATGGCTGACAGTGAAAGATCTCAGGAAGACAGTATGGAAAAGGAATGAATGAAGGGACAAGGGCACAAGGCTGAAGGTCTAATCCTAAGCGCGACCCATTTGAAACCGGGTAGGATGGTTTTTTTTGGCGGTCTGGGTCCATTACATTATAAATACGAATACCAGCCAGTCTCTCGTTTCTGAAGTTTGTAAACAATGGGCTATGTTAGATTAAGCATTTTTTTTTTTAATGCTAGATTAAGCATTTTTTTTTAATGCTAGATTAAGCATTTTTTTTAATGCTAGATTAAGCTTTGATGTAAATTGGGTTATATATAAAAATAAGGGATAGGTTATTATACCTACTCCCATTTGGCCTACCTTTGCCTACCATTTTATTATCGTTCGATTAGAATCTAATCTAACGGTCCATATTTGCGAAATAAAATAAACCCTTTTTTTTCTTTCTTTCTCCTCACTTCCTCTCATCCCCTTTCTCTCTCCTCCCCTTTCTTTCTTCCTCTACGCCATACCTAATTTTTTCCTTCATCGCTGGTGTCTGCCGCCATGGACCTCTTAAACCCCCCACATTCTCCAACTCCATGTGAAGTGAGAAGCTTTTCAACTTCAGAAAAAAAATTTGAAAAAAAAAGACCCTTCCTGTTTCTGCAGCTCTATCCAAAGCGGCGGTGCCACAAGGAGGGTTCTTTAATCTTTACCTCACAACTTGTTGTTTAGTTGTTTTCCATGGTGGCGCAAGACAAATCTGAGACATTATGTTAATTATTAAATATTGGAAGTCTAGAATATTTTTAAAGATACAAGCTTTTCATATCTTTCAAGTGAATAGGCATTTGGTTGCAAATGTTCTCAATTGTGCTAAACATATTTTATTTACTTTTTAATGAAGACAGCTTTGACCTGTTTCTGTTGTGCCAATTTAATTGCCTTCAACATTTGAATCACGGCAGTATGATGTAGAGGAAGAGAGAAAGGGGAGGAGAGAGAAATGGTGTCGGAGAAATGAGGAAAAAGAAAGGAGGAAAAGGGTTTATTTTATTTCGCAAATATGGACCGTTGGCTTAGATTGTAATCGAACGATAATGAAAGGGGTAGGCAAAGGTAGGCAAAATGGGAGTAGGTAGAATAACCTATCCCTAACAATTTACAGTGAGTCAAACTTATTTCACACCCTTTTCCTTCTCTACATTTTCAACAAACTTATTTCTCAACAAAAACATTTCATATAAATTTGACTCAAACCATTTCAAATTAAAACTTTAAATTTTAATATATGTTTAAAAAGGATAAAAAGAATTTCGAGCGTCTAATTTAAAAACAAAAAATTAAATGTTTTTGAACGCTTGGTTTGTATTTTTAAAATTTAAATTCTAAATTTGACTCAAATAAAAACTAACTAATTTAAACATTAAATTTTAATATCTGTTTAAAAAAGATAAAAAGGATTTCGAGTGTCTAATTTAGAAACAAAATATTTACTGTTTTTTGCACGCTTAGTTTGTATTTTTAAAATTTAAATTCTAAATTTGACTAAAAAAAAACTAACTAATTTAAACTTTAAATTTTAATATCTGTTTAAAAAGGATAAAAAAGATTTCGAGCATCTAATTTAAAAACAAAAAATTAACTATTTTTGAACGCTTGGTTTGTATTTTTAAAATTTAAATTCTAAATTTAACTCAAACAAAAACTAATTTAAACTTTAAATTTTAATATCTGTTTAAAAAGGATTTCGAGCATCTAATTTAAAAATAAAAAATTTACTGTTTTTTGAACGCTTGGTTTGTATTTTTTAAATTTAAATTCTAAATTTGACTCAAACAAAAACTAACTAATTTAAACTTTAAATTTTAATATATGTTTAAAAAGGATTTCGAGCGTCTAACTTAAAAATAAAAAATTTATTGTTTTTTGAACGTCCAATTTTAAAATCCCACTACTTTCTACATTGGAATTTCCAAATTAATAATAACACATGACTTTCTGAAATATTTATTTTAAATTTTGAATTTTATTTAAATTTCAATCTTGAATTTAAATTTTGAATTTTAAACTTTGTAATGGTGGAAAAATATTTGGACAATTATTGGTGGCTCATTTATTATCCCATTACTTTTTACATGGAAAATTGTTAACCATTATTAGTGGGACATTAAATGAGTTGTCTGTCACTAAAAATTTTCAAATTTTTTTTTACCATTACAAAGTTAAAAATTTAAATTCAAAATTTAAACATAAATTCAAAGTTTAAAAGAATTGAGTTATTATTAATTTGGAAATTCCAATGTAGAAAGTAGTGAGACATTGAATGAGTTGTCTGCCACCACAAATTCTTCACTTAAATTTTTGTTTATTTTATTTTGATTTGTAGGTTAAATTTTATATTTTTAAATTTCAACTATTTACTAAAGGAATAAAGTTTTCAAATGACATGTAGTGCGTACATATATATATAGATAATAAATTTAAATTTAATATAATATATAAATCAAATGAAAAAATATTTAAAATTTTAAAAATATGTGTATAGTTGTAAAAAAATAAAAAAATTTAAATTTAAATTCAAAAAACAAATAAGAAATGACATATTTATACTATAAAAGAAAATAAATAAAAAAATTAACTTAAAAAAAATAATACAAAAAGAGACAAAAATTCGAACAAGTATTTTTTTAAAAAAACAATTAACATAAATATTTGAAATATTTATATGTATACTTAATCTAAAACTTACAAATTAAAAGATAAAAAATTAATTTTTTGAATAATATGTATGCTTAATAAAAAAAATTACATTTATCATTCTGTAAAAAATAAAACATAAAAATTTAATCACTATAAAAATGAACGACCATTTAGTGACCAATGACTATCCAACTCCTACATCGTAAAAAGATGTTTGTCATTAAGTATTTTACAGACTATTTTAATGTTTCACATTACTTTTCACATGGAAAATTGTTAAGCCTATTAATAATATTATTTATTATAACTATTGGGGTGAGGGAATATTTAATGTTTAGAATTCAAATATTTTAAATTTAAATTTTGAACTTGATAGGTGAGAAAAAAGTATAAAGCAAAAATTGGATTTATCAAAAATTGGATTTATAAAAAATTGGAATTTGATTAAATAGAGTATAAAGAAAATAAATGATTACACATGTAAAATAGTTAATTTATAATAAAAATTTAAGGCGCTAAATTAAAATTTAATAAACCTAAGTATAAAGGAAATAAATTTAGAATATACAACTTATTTATTCTGACATTATAATATATATGCGTGTGCGCGCCTTTAATATTTTATAATGTGTAAAACCATAAAACATGTTTCATTCACCATGTATAAAACCATAAAATTTAAGCTGAAAGTGTGTTAGCACACTTGATACCAAGTTAGAATACCAAGCCTTAATAATGATTTGAATTATTTAATTTATCTTTTTTTAATGTGTAATAGAGTTTTTTTTTTCTTTCAACAACATTTCATTTGCTAAAAAATATAAATTAGTGTATTATAAAACAGGTCCTAACAATGACCGTGTTTCTAATATATTTATATATTCTAATTTTTTTTACTTAAATAATAACATATTTGATTATATTAAATGCAATTCAATTCACCAAACATTCGATTTAGTAGAATAAGTTTTTTATATCAACTTATATTTGTTCATTATATTTTTGTTATAAATATAAAAAAATATGCACACTGAAAACAAAAGAATTTAAATTTTTATTTTAAATAAAAAATGACATTTATCATTCTATAAAAAATAAATAAAATTCTGTAAACTAGCCCGGAGGGCCTGCACGCCCCGCCTGCCAATGCATTTTTATAATTAAATTAAAATTCCACTATTCTTCTTTTATAATTAAATTCATAAATCCGATTTTAATTTTGTAAATACAAATTTGTAAAATTTTAAATACTAACGACACAAATTCTTGCAAAAAATAAAGTATAGTCTGTATAGCGATATATTTTGGAATGACCACAGGGTACAGAATAAGAGTTTAATTCAAGTAGTAACTATATAGTATTTAACTTAAATGAATGATCTGTAGGGTTAAATTCTAAATCTAAGTGAAAGATATAAATGGCGTAGATGAAGCCAATGAGAATTGAATTCCTGTGAGGGCAATAGAAAACAAGTTTTATGTGAATTTAGTAAAAAATGGAGTTAATGTGAGGGATGTCAAGGACTAAATTTAAGAAGGAGTGAATTTATGTGAACGCCACATAAGACAAAAATTAAGTGATAGAGATAGATAATATAGGTGGAGGCAAAAAGAATTGAATTTATGCGAAAGCAATAGAATGTAAAGAAAGAATGGCTAAATAACAACACAAAGGAGAATAAATTGTGTTTTAAACTTTTTCGAATTAAACAAAGAAAATTAAAAACCCCTTTTTAAAGAAAGCATGCAAGAGAATTTAACAAATAACAAAAATTTTCAATCCCTTAAAACAAATTCATATTATCAAAAAAGAATAAAAGAAAAGTAATATGCAGCGGAAAATTAAGAGATAAGGGAAGAGAAGATAGCACCGTGATGTATCCTGTTTCACTCTCCACCACTAATAGCTACATCTAGACTGAGGCCGATCGTTCCACTATCTTCAAGCTTTTAACCGGTGCTTGAAGAAACCATTTTTCAAAAGAAATTTTTCAAGAGATATGATCTACCTGATCACCCTTAACCTACACCCTAGGATCATTCCCTTTGAACCAATCCTCAACTGAAATTTTAAATATTGTGATCAACCATTTGATCACTCTTAACATATACCATAAGATCACTCCAATTGAACCAATCACACCAGAACTACCTTCCTAAATTTAGAATTATAAAGAAATAGAAGAAGAAGAATAATAAAAGAGCTTCCTCTCTCTAGATGTTAAACATATGCCCTATATGATGTTCATATCAAACCATAAGGATTTCTCAAGTTTAATTCACTCTCTCTTATGCTCTCTTTTAATTCTCAAAAAGAACTCATGGTATGGCACTTATAGATTTTTTCTCAAAATCAAATCCTTACGAAAAATATGTAGGTTTATGCACTAGATATTGTATCATGGTTTTTTAAGAAAACTTTCCAAA